CAGGGGGCGCAGGGGTCCGCCCGGTCGCGCGCGCCCCGCAGGGCCCCGACGACGACTTGCAACGTGGGAGGTGGTTTTCGGATTTAAAGGCCGTGCGTGGTTATCGATGGACATCTCGGAGGCACACAAAAACACGGAAGAAAATATCTTCTTTCCACCCCTCCCAGCTCCCGGGGGGAAGCGCTCGCTTGGGCTGCTTGATTGCCCAGTATATTTATCAATGTGTTTGTTTTCTGGAGCGGGGTCATATTATAGGATGTTGTGTTTCCTGCTTTTCTTTTTACTTAACATTTTATCGTGACCATTTTTTCTTGTCACTAAGTAGTCTTCAAAAGCATAATTTAGTGCTGCAAAGTATCCCATCACGTGGCCGTGCTGATTTATGAAATCAATTTCCTACTGGAGAACATTTCTTTCCCATTTTTACACTGTAACAAATAAATTAGTGATGAACATTCTTGACAATTATGTGCTTTTAAGCTAAATGCACGTTTTCATTTAAAACTGCAAACAGGCTGGGCGAGGCTGAGGCAGGATTGCTTGAGCACAGGAGTTTGAGACCAGCCCAGGCAAATTAGGGAGCCCTCTCGACAACACATGAAAAATTTAGCGGGGTGTGGTGGTGGAGAATTGAGTCCCAAATACTCCAGAGGCTGAGGTGGAAGAATTACCTGAGCTCAGGAGGTCGAGGCTGTGATGAGCAGAAATGGTGCCACCGCACTCCAGCCTGGGCGGCAGAGTGAGACTCCATCTCAAAACAAAAACATGCAAACGTAGAGCTGGAACTTGGAATCTGTTCCCTTAGAATCCCTTCAACTAGCAGCTGATGGCTCGGGTCTGTAATCCCACCACTTGGGGAGGCAGAGTCAAAAGGATTGCCTGAGCCCACAGGTTCTAGACCAACCTCCTCATTTCTACAAGAAATTTAAAAAACTAAGTGAGCATGGTGGTGCACGCCTGTAATTCCAGCTACTTGGAAGGCTGAGGCAGAAGGATTGCCTGAACCCAGCAGGTCGGGGCTATGGTGGCCTTGAGCGTGCCACTGCACTCTAGCCTGGGCAACAAAGTGAGACTCCCGCTTAAAAAAAAAAAATCTCTTTAAGTAGAAAATCGTGTATTTTCCTGCAGTCAAAAGTCAAAAGTCCTGCACTGAGATATTGATTACTACTGTTAGTGTGTGTTGGATTGGGAGCTTTGTACCCACGTCTCAACCCAGAGAAGAATGCAGTAGCAGCTCCATTTTACACCTAACCCTACCCATGTTCGGGGAAGTTTTTTGGTTTTGTTTTTTGTTTTTGTTTTCTTTTGAGTCGGAGTCTCACTCCGTTGTCCAGACTGGAATGCAGTGGCTGCTCCCGGCCACTGCAACCTCGACCTGCTGGGCTCCGACCATCCTTCCGCCTTTGCCTTCCAAGTAGCTGGAACCACAGGCACGCGCTAACACACCTGGCTAATTTTTTTTTGATTTATTGTAGAGATGAGGTCTCGCCAAGTTGCCCAGGTGGGTCTCAAACCCGCGGGCTCAGGCAATCCACTCACCTCGGACTCCCAAATCACGGGATTACAGGCTGAGTCACCGAGCCCGGCTCTGTTTTTTATTTTTTATGTTAGCCTTCCAAAGTGCTGGGATTACAGGAGTGAACCACTGTTTGGGGACGTTTTGAAACGTCATTTGAACTTGCCTGACTGTGTGGTTCCAAAGTCCATGTTCTTTCCATTACACCCAGACGGCTGGTAGTTGAACTGCTTGCTCTATTTAAAGTGCTTATCTCGTGCTGAGAGCTACAGATCAGCACCACCACTGAATGTGTTTTACAGCCCGTTAACACTTTTCCTTTTTGAATGGACAGGAATTGACAACACAGCTAGACATTAACACAAGTAGACAACTACCTGAGCACCTCCTGAACCAAATCCATCTCTAAACACTTTTACTTACATTATCTTCAGTGACCAGTGGGCCTTTCATAAAGCCCACAGAAGTGCCCATGGATTTATCTGGAAACTCATTTGCATGGTAAACACAAGTGAAGCAATGTGCTTACTAATAAGCATAGTAAACAAATTATCACTTAGATTATGTATTTCAGACCAATTAAAAGAGATGTTTTTTAAATCGCCCCACACACACTAGGTATGTTTATTTGTATATACATAATCAAAGAAAGAGTTACTTAGAGGGACTAATGGACATTATGGTGGGCTAGCTTCCATCGTCAGCCCAACCCTTTGATGTAATCCCAGTTCCTATCAGCTGCAGACCAAATTTTAGGACATCCCCTTGCAAGGTGCGA